AAATTACCAACATCATAAAGTATTTAGTATTGCATATTATGTACACGGCTCGTACGACGAATCGTTATCCGCGTATCATTCTCACCGCAGAACCGATTGCATGTCATGGTTCACCGAAGAACTAAAAAATTTAGCGCAACATGTAAAAACAATTTTATCAGCTAATGTCCCCATGGTAAATTTAACACCTAATGAATGTGAAAAATTTCACAACGCGACACAATGCCACATTTGTGAAAAACCATTCGTACAAGACGATACACGCGTACGCGATCATTGCCATCTGACCGGTAAAAAATTTTTATTAAATATTATACTTATGTTTAAATGTAAATAATAATTTCGCAATGTACAAAACTTCTTATGTGACGGAAAATACGCAAATTCGCTGCTATATACATCGATAAAAACGAGAGCCGAGAGAAATTAACATTCTATTATATATCCATATGGCAACGAACAATGATTATCAATAAACCCCTATAATTTTTTAATATAAATTATTTTATTATTTTATTATTTAATACAATTAGCATTTAATATAATATTAAAAATGGTATTTTATGTAATAACTCTTCCCAGACAGCACAAGGATGTCCTTAGGACGTCCAAAGGGCATCCAGGACATACATGTAGGATATCCTGAGGATATCCTATTTTAATCCTCGGATCTCCTCTGGATGTCCTGAGGAAGAGTAAATAATAGCCGTACACTAGCCTCTGGATAATCCAGGGAGATCCTGTGGAACATCTTAAGGATTTCTATAGGATATGTTAGGGATATTTTTCATACGTTAAAAGGAACAAATTCTAAAATTTAAATATAAATTAAGATTGCGTTCTGTTATTTACTACCAATACTAAAAATCTAATACTAAAAATAGTTCACGTTCTTTAAAATTTGACGTTTTCGTGCTGTACATGAATATTTTAGGTTTGGCTTCCGGATTTGAGTCGTGTAATATTTTCAAAACAATCCAATATCTGAATTCCCTATGTTGGGATTGCATCAGAAATTGAACTGATAAAAAATAATTATATTTTTAATTTCCTGTTAGTTGCTCTTTGCAAGCTTTATATAATTCTCATGACCAAATCTCAAATACGAGTTTGCGCGTCGCATAGCGGTAAACAAACAAACTAGCGGTTGAATACTATTTTTTGTAAAGTTTTTGGAATGTTGCGCATAAGATATCGGGTTAAATTTTTTTACATAAATAGAGTATCATTAAAGGATGGTTGATATTAAATTTGGTGAAGATCGATGAAAGAGTTCATTTTTTATAAAATTTTGAATTTTTTGAGAAATGTCTGTACACGCTTTAACTTTCGCAAATTTTGAAATATCTTCCTCTATGAGGATGTCAAAATTAAAAAACCCGCTTGCTTTCAAGAGCTTAAGCTTTGTGAGCAAAATAAAATGATGAAGAAGTAATGTGCAAGTTTCTAATTTGTACAATTTTATATTTATTTTTTATTTATTATTGCGCACTTTCTATTTATGCGCTAAATTATAATTATTTATACAAAAATTATACACTTAAATTATATATACAATTGAACATCTGTAAATATATATAAATATAAAATTCTTATATATCTATAAAATTATAATATTAATATCTAATTAATCTAATTATATCTAATATTTAATTTAAAAAATTTAATTTTAATTTTTTATGTATATTTAGAGCCGGATTGCCGGATTTTCCGACCGTCGTGATAAAGCTTCTTCGTTTGTCATAATGAATCTAAACAGATAAGAAACAAAAAATTAAAAATTTATACCGTACACATTTTTTACGTATATTTTTTATCGCGCACCTTATTGCTTTCAAATAAATGAATATATAGAGTATATAAAATTTAATATTCTTTTCTAAAATTATATTGAACTTTAAGAACTATATATTTGCAACACACGATATAAAATATACGCGAGAACACTTTAACAATATTAATATTATAGGCGTAGTACTATGAAGAGC